ACTAAATCGAATCACTTGCATTGTTTCAAATGAGGTAAGTTATCGACAAGTCGTCGTTCTTTGATATTAGTGCTCCTATATAAAATTCTAGACACACAATATAGGCTAATGCATCGTTAAATTAAGTATATAGTGGATATCAATTGGCAATAAAATCGATCGGGTTGCTCGTAAATGCAGGGCAAAGTCAAAAGAGGAATCTGAACTTTGTAATTACATAAAACCAGGCCCCGCAGACCTCATTACAAGCAACTTTCTTTCCTCATTATATTTTTTTTTGTCTCAATTAGACTTTTGCCAAACTGTGAATTGAAAGGGTTTTTTTTAAAATTTGTATTAAGAACAGCACTATAAAGTAATGACGTCTTAAATGAAACGACGCATTTTTATCTAAACAAGTAATAGGAAACAATATCCTCTTCGTACTGTAATAATAATAGATATTAGCCCGGGCCTAGTTCGTGGAATCCAAATCGATTTAAGCATTACAATATTTTCTCAAGAATTTGACTTCGCACTATATTTTGTCTTTCACTAGTGATTGATTCGGCTATAGAGACGACAGTAATCATTCCATGTTTTGTGGTTGAGTCTCGTGGTATTTTCTGAGAAGTAATCGGCACTTTAATCGATGGCTAGATAATAGGTCCGCGGATCAACGAAGTGAATATCATAATTTTCTTTTACTGAATTGATCTAATATCCATTTAAAACTGATTTGTTGCCAAAATTCGACTTGGGGCGGTTTTTAATCGTACGTGACCGAGTGATTAAGGCGTTGGACTTAAGTTCCAGCGGACTTATTTCCGCATGGGTTCGAACCCCATCCGTACTAAATTCTACTGCTTACAAATGAATTCGCTATGCTAGGGCAGCTTACAATGAGTTTTACAGTAAATCTTTGCTTTAGCTGCCCGAGACTATTGTATCTATAAATAAATAAAAAGAAAAAATGAAATTGACGTTGCGCGTATCGTATACCTTCAAGAAAGAAATAAACAACCTAAAGACCAATTTACTTTTTTTATTATAATTCCATTACTACATACATACACACGTAATTTTATAAGTAGGCCTATATGATATTTGCAATAGCGCCCTCGGTTTGTTCTGCACACATAGTACCGGTACATAGGTTTACATGAAAGTAAATGGAGAACTGGAAGCTATCATAGAAACCTAATATAATTATAAAGAATTTATAACTAAAATATTAGGCGTAGCGTTCGTCAGACCTTGACCGTGAATATAATACAAGCTGAAGAAGACCAGAGGGTGGGACCAATCAGGTTAG